TGTACATGGCTTTTAATGCTCGATTCTTTTCTGCATCTGAGCCTTTCTTTTTATACTTATTTGAAAGATTCAAAATTATACAATAATCATAAATATTATGAATACGAAATTTATTTTGATATATTAATTTCTGTTATTTTCATGTTAAGTTGTGTTTATTAATTGAATGAATACCTTCATAATATACTAACTTAACAAAATTCAATGTTATTTTGTTTTCTTCAATTAAATATAGTAGCGTAAACGAAGATCTAGCTTTAATTTTCAAAATATATTGTTTGTATTTCGTTATTCGAGCTTACGGAATTTGTTCGCTCTCAGCGAAGGGACTCTAAGCAGAAAGAGAATATGTACCGGTACGGTTTGTTGTTAAATGGGAACTCAGGTATTGCGCGAGATCTCGCGACGATGGCTCAAGGAACGATTGCTGCAGGAGGCTGCGAAGTCGAGGAGGACGGAGAGGGTTCTCAAGGTACGGCGGAACCAAATTTTATCCCACAACCATCGACGTCTCCGGAGCCCATACCTGGTCTAGCCTGTTCTCAGAAACAAATTAAACCACGACCTTATCCATCAAAGGAACCATTACCGCAAAAGGTAGTTTAAACAAAAAAAAAGAAGAAAAATCAGTATATTCCTTTTAATATTGAAACATTAAAATTTAATTTATTTTAGCTAGTACAAGTGGGAGCATTAGAAGTGCAGAATGTAAAAAGAGCTATTAATCGTTATGGTACATTACCAAAAGGTGCTAGAATCGGAGCGTATCTAGAATCTTTGCGTCAAAGTGGTATGCCATCGAATCAAGAATCTTCAACGGTGGTTTCTTCTATGGCACCTAGTTCAATAGAACAACACGAGACTTCTATCGATAATTCGCAACATAGATCACTCTCTCCTCGTCAAAGCAATCTACGAAATCAACCTCAAATGACCCGCAGTAATTCTTCCAGCGGTGTCGTTAATACTTACCAACCTCCGAATTCCCCTCGTGGTCGTGTAGTAACCGTAAGAAAGAACAATCAGTCCGAAGGTGTTGGTCTAAGAACTTTTCGGGTTTCGAGTAACTCAAACTTCAGAACCGCGAGTCCATCAAGATCCGTTCAACCGTCATTAGCTGATTTAGAATTTCCTCCTCCACCCGCAGACTTGCCTCCTCCCCCAGATGAAACTTTCTCTGGTCAGGAGCAAGCTGAACTTCCTCTTCCCGTTTCATGTACCGAAATCTCTCAGATCAGAAATTCTCCCCTTTCTATAAGAAAAGCAAAGAATACGGATTGGCGTACGAAGGAAGAAGATAGCGAGCAACAGGAAGATAGAAACGACGTTAGTAATATAGAGCCTTCTGTCAAAGAAGCTTGTTCGAGGTTTGGAGTTAATTTAAGGCGCAGAGAAACTCAAGATAATTCTTGTAGAAATTCTGATAACAAAAGAACGGGGTTTAAGTCCAGAATGGAGATGATTGAGCCTGCCGCACCACCTGAGGAAGCACCACCTCCTCCACCGCCACCTCCGCCACCAATTTCTACGAACACACCCCCCGATAGTTTTGAACGTAAACCTGGCATGAAAGAAATGTTGGAATTAAAATTGATCAATGAAATTAAACAAAGCGCTGAAACGAAGCATGGCGCGAGCACGAAGAAGCCCGGTGCGACAAGTAACACTCCATCCGCACCTCTCGATCCAGCATCCCAGTTACTTTCGGAACTTTGCGCTAGTTTTAATATGGAGTCTGGACAGAGGTACTTGAAGTTAAACAATTATATATTTTATATTATATTTTATCGTATACACATGTCATATTATAATTAATTTTTTATATTTTATTGCGTGTTGTATATATATTTTTTTGACTGTAATAGACACGCCCAAAACGAGTACGCTGTGTCAACTTTAAAAACCAATGACATAACTCAAGAGCAACAACAGCAGCAACAACAAAGTCATAACACTCACAAGGATTCGTCGGTATCATCTCCAGTGACCGAATCACTACTCTCCAGTGGAAACGTTGGCTTCAAGCTGAAGAGAGTAGACAAACGGAATAATCCGCAGAAAGAAGAAGCAACCGATGGACAAATAATTGATTTCAAGGCGAGACTTCGAAAAGTTGAGAATGCAGAAAAGGAGAAGTCTTTAGAAGAGAAAAGTACCGTTACTGAGCAATCCTCAGAATCGGAAGAGCAACAAGATGACAAGCGTAGAAGTACCGGTAGTATCAGTAGCTTGAAGAAACTTTGGGAAAATAAAGAATCTTGTGACAGTCAACCTCACAGTCCGAAACTTAACGTCAGAGGAAGTAGTGGCAAACAAGAGATGCTTGACCAGACTGAAGACTCACCAGAGGATCATAGCGGAGCCTCGACCCGTAGTCAGAGGTGGATAATATCAATCTTTATACTATTCCCTATATTTCGTTATTTAAAACGTTCATAATTGTTACACTATAATATATTAATGATTGCTAATTATAGATTCATGTTTATAGTTCCGGTAGCAAAAGTGATGCCAGACTGTGGCCACCACCTGAACCAGAAAAACCGGCAGTTCCTGCCAAACCATTAAAACCACTGTGCTCGTCGACAAAGCACTTTGGTTCATCGATTTATGCAACGCCAAACTGTACGAAATCCCAGCACGCTGAAGACGACCTAAACAAACAGAATACAGATTCAAAGACAGCGAAACAGGCAGTATTGGAGCTTTCGACATTGATCGAGAGCAGCGTATTAAATTTGAAAAGTAGTTCAACAATAGTAATGGCCAGTTGGCTTCAGCTGTCAGACAAGGTAGGGCTATTACATGGAATGTGCACGAATCTTGCAGATAGCGGTATAGCACCACACGCGCGGTTTCAATTTCGCGAACTTCTTGTAAGATTAGAGCTTCAGGCACGGCAGCTTCGTGCAGCTGGTACTCGAAATGTTGCAGAGAATACAAGGCTTCTTACTGACCTGCAAAACACGATAAAGGATGTTGTTAATGCTGTGCAAAGATAAACTAGAAAGATCATTTTTCTTCATCTTTACCCCTTGTTCTCGTCCTCATTTTCATCTGACAATTAATCATACTCGTCTGTATACTCGGTCGGATATATTTTAAACTTCCCTTTTTATTTCTTCGATAGAATTAGCCTTTTAAATTTCGGTTCTGCGTACTAAGTAACTTTATAGTTCTTCCCCCGTTTCATTTGAAATTTTGTTTTATGTTTGTTGTCGTAATGAATTTCTTTATTAATTCTGCTGCTACCTTCTCTGACGATGACTCTGTTAAGAGTCTAAATTTCGCTTATGGAGAATACGTGAAACCAAGAGTGTTGAAAAATTAGGCCTCAAACCGAACACGGCCTCAATTAATATCGGTTTGATGGGAAAATAATAATGAAGTCTAAAATTAAGATACTAAATTAAAGAATAAAAAATATATTTCGATTTTCATTAATATATTTCTTATCATAGACTGCGATTAGCTATTTTCGTTCGGATTTAGGGATATTGTTGTACTAAAAGTATTATTCTTTTGATATGGAGAAAAAAAGACCATATAGCGAGTAATTCACTTATATTTTTTATCAATTGAGTTTTACAAAGGAAAAAGAAAAAGAACTATTAAGTCTCAAAAACAAGATGAGTCTAGAAGTATGATAACTAACTAAGGATTAAATATACTGGTTCCTTAAATTTTTTGAACAATAGTTTTTAAACTGGTAGAGAAGGGGACGAGTAATCGCAATTTATCAAAACAAAAAATTCTATATATATATATACATGTATACATATACTGCAAAAAATAGTTTTTGTACACTAAACATTTGGTTTCTTTTAAATTAATTTTTGTTACTTTCACGTCGATCCACTATGTATCCTGTATAAGTAAAGTTCTACGTGAATTATACTCGTCCGCTATACGATAAATGTGGTGATTATAGTTGTCGAGTAAAATGTTTCGGTGTTCTTTCATCGAACTTTCTTGCGCCGTGCTTCGTAATATTGTACGCAGTCTTAGGCTAGATTATACATCGTAAGTGCGAAACTTTTAAGCGAGTACGCCATTTTAACGCGTGAGAGAATGTAACAATTTTTGTATTTGTATAGAATAAGTCGAATAACAGGTATGCTTAATGGTACAGTAAAACTTTGATCGTGAAAACTAATCAGAATAATACTCTCAAATTGATCAATTTTCTGATTAATCAATTTTAATCTTATTTATACAGCAACAATTTAATTTATTGTCGTCTTCATACTTTATTTAGAAAATCATGCACATCATTTTTTATATAGTAATTAATGATTTCAATATTCATCATAATTTGATTACTTAGAATATATATCAGTAAAGTATATTCCAAGTATGTTAAAATTTATCAATATTAGTTTAGAATGCTGATTATAATATCAGTAATTAGTATCCGATTAATCAAAAGTTTGATCATGTATTTCAATAATCAAAAGCCAGATTTATATGTGGTTTAAGAATATCGAGGTTTTACTGTATTATTCATGTAAATCAGCGGGTGTAATTAATCAAATTCTGAAGCGTTTTGTTTTGTCCACGTTATTGTGTGGACGTTCTTCCACGAAACGCTAATGAAAAATACAGGACTCCGGATACTTCTTGACGAAATAAACAAACGAAAAGAGAGATAGAAATTATTGATCATAAAATTATTGTTAATGTGAATTAGTAATTTATTTTGCTTTTTATTTATCAATCATGTATTATAGTATAATTGCATTTTAATTCATCAGTCATGAATGAACTGAGGTATACATTAAGATCCAAAGAATGGACGGAAAATAAATAATCGAATTTATATTGTATTTGTAATTGTAAAGAATTTGTTTCTAGACTATTTCTTAATTTATTAAACTTTAATTAAACATAATGTTTAATTTGAAAATTTTCAATTATAATACTAGTTTAAGAGTATTATTTTTGTCTTTTTATTAAGTAGTCTTCCGTGGAAAGTTTCCGGAGTTCTACATCTTTTTTTCTTTTTTTTTTCTCTTATTCAATGACTTAAAACCATCAAATATGCAACGAGAATGAAAATGTCACTCGAGAATCACGTCAAGCAATCTTTCCTTGTAACACTGCCTATGTTATGGCTACTAGAGAACATCGATTGAGGACACACTAGTTACGCGAACCGGAATTTCTCTCTTTTCGGTCCGATCACCTAATTTCATTTTACATCGTTTGTACCTGTGATACACCGATCGACTTATCTTTTATCTTCAAAGAAAAAAGAGAGAAAAAGAGGGAGCGGATGGGAGAAGAACGACACGAGCGATCGTACGAACGGATTTTTGCGAGAAGCCCTAGATGTACAGATTTTTGACTGGAATTTTTTATGAATTCCTACTTTGTTAAGTCAAGTATTCAACGATAAAACATTGTCTGTAAATACGTAATCATTTTCAAGGAATTATATATAACATTCTGGTTTCAATTTCATTTACATATAATGTTTTAAGGGATTTTTTAGCCTAATTATATATAATTCGTTTTAACTATTTCAGATTCTTATTATAACAAGCTCATACATTATAAAGACTGTGTTTTATCTACTATAAGTAGACAATTCTAATAATCTATATTGCATGTTATGTTTAAATATAAAATTTTGTTTTATTTTAGAGTTAGTATAAAATAGAATACAGATAATGTATATAGAGAAATGTTATATACAATTCCTTTAAAATTTGGGTAATTATAGATAATATTTTTTAAACTTTATTAAGCTGTATTATGAACTAAAGATTGACAAATGTTTCATTCAAAAACTTGTATATGTAGAACTTCTCTCAATCTCATTTATCAGTGAATGTTTAAGTTGATGAACCGTTAAAGGATATAAAATCGATGTTTTATACGATATGTATCATAGTAACGTTTATGTCTAAGTATTTATATCTATATTTATTTTTAGTTTTTTCTCGTGTAAAGTTACTCCTAAATGATCGACCAACGTACTGATTCACTAATACGAAAATTTTAATATCGCTTTATACATTGATATAAGACCGACGATAGAAATAAAAAGGAATATTGAATCAAAAAGATTTGTAAATATTTTACAAAACAAATCTATTATTCTATTCCTTTAACTTGCATTTTCTAATACTTCTTGTACTCGGAAACAGTCGCTTACGATCTTCCATTTATCTCCCATTGCTGCAATCAAAAAACTTTGATTAAATGGTTTTGATGTTCTATCATCATATTTTACTTGTCCTCCAACTTTTACTAAAAATGTCAGTTGATCTGCCATCTCAGGACCTAATAACACATTTCACAAATCTTATTTAGCAAATAATAGAACCAACTATATTTAAATTTAATTGCAATACTTAAGACTCCTTATTATATTTACCCGTTATTGGTTGAGCATCTAAGGCAAAAACATTATGATCAGAGGGTGGTAAATCTGTCCAAAATTTCTGTATATTATCTTTGCCTTCAATACCATTTCCATTCCATATTAAAGTTGCAGTGTCCAAATACAATCTTGATATTAACTAAAAGTAAATAAAAATTATGCACATTTATCGTTTTTCAAGTTTAAAATGATCTAAAATTACTTACATATCTTCGTTTATCTAAACTTTCATAATAGAGTTTTGTAAATTCCTCGGCTGTACGGCAAGCTTCATCAATTTTTGTTTTCAAATCCTATAAATAAACAATTACACTAACAAATTTTTAGTCATGATAACATAAAATATTGTTTAACATACCTGCTCCATTTTATAGAAACAATTTCCAGAGAATTTAAAATACGCGTTCTTTCAAATGAACTATATATTTATGTAATACAAAGCATAAATATAACCTTTATTACATAGGTAAACCGTTCGTGACAATTTTTCTTCTAGAATTTGCTAACTTCTAAATTTCCAAATTAACTATGAAATACAGCTACTTTTTATATTCTCAAAAATAAAATAAAGAAAACATGGCATTTTATAACTGAAAAAAAATACTACTGCTATTATAATGAAATTAAATACTTTATTTATGTACATATACTAGTAAAATTCTTGCAATTGTTACACATAACGTATTATCATCATTTCTGTAATAATACAAAAGCGAGTAACATAATGTTCAATATTTCTTTCTTTTTTCAAAATCAGAATGTATAACTATTCATATTTAGCTATTTATGTTTTAAAAATATAAAAATTTACATGGAATAGTGGCTACCGAAACATATATAGACATGTTTGGGGGTCCCAGACACCCCAACATAATACGTAGAGCGCAGTTCATTTTTCTGCGCTTGACAGTATAATCATTCGCAGCTTGCGTATGTGAAGCGGCCTCGACGCTTGCATCAAACGTGGACAAGTCTATCGACACGAAATTCGGAGAATTTAATGCCAAAGCGATTAATTAAGACGGCGTCGACAATTTCTTCTTAATGGACATTTTCTTCATTATCGACCTCGACGCCGGCCGCCATAAACAAAGGAGCGCTAGCGTCATCTATAAAAAACGGCTGGAACTACATTCTACAGCGTTGCACCGACGAGAGATAAAATATTTACATAAATATAATTATTTTTTCGTAATCGATACTATAAGTACTACGATTGCATATAAATGTGTCTCCATATTTGAAATAATACTTTATGAAATATTTCTTAGCAGAATCAGTATAGATCAAAGTGTTATTAAAATAATATTCCTCTCTATTTATTACATAATTACAGTAATATAAAAGATAATACAAGACAAGTGTTGCTAAAAAAGTACATTATTCGATTTTTTCGTTGATATTTATTGTATGAACGTTTCCATTACGATTAGCATTACAGTTTCGAAACTTCTACCAATGGCTGTGATTGGTCACGCCATGTTGGCGTCCCCTCATTTCGACCAATCAGACACGTCGTTGAGCGAGTGCGCCGATTTGTGACGCAGTACAATCATTTCTCTTCGAAACCTCGTCCGTTATGCACGTGTCTGCAACAGGTAAGATTAAATTATCTTCAAACATTAAATTAAATTGTCTTTCGGGTGTTGCAAGTACAAAAAATAGAAGGAATAGCTGGGGAGAAGTCTAGCTCTTTGTTTTTTGACATTAATTCGACATTATCTTCAAAAATACGAGAGGTAAAATTTTTTCTCTTGTCGTGAATCGACAATGAAGTTGGAAGAGCATAATCTGAATTATTTCCCCTTTATATCAATAATTTCTTTAACATTATTGCATTTTTTCATGTTTTCAATACATATTTCTCATAATTTACTGTTATAAATTGTGATACTTGATTTTTCCATTTCTGACTATTCTGCCGATATAGATACCAAATAAAAAGATATTTCCTTCATTTATTTTGCTTTTACATCGACAATTTCTTAAATTTCATTAGTATCTTATGTTTTTTCTACTTTGTTTTCTATATTTTGGCGTTTAAAGTTGAGAAAAGTAATCTTAACTTTATTTCAATATGGCGTCGATAGTTTTTAACGAACCTTTCCCTTATGATTAGTATTAAACTTTCGAAGTAATACGAAACTTCTACCAATGGCTGTGATTGGTCGCGCCATGTTGGCGTCCTCTTATTTCGACCAATCAGACACGTCCTTGTGTGAGCGAGTGCGACGATCTGTGACGCAGTGCATCATTTCTCTTCGACACTTCGTCCGTTATGCACGTGTCTGCAACAGGTAAGATTAAATTATCTTCAAACATTAAATTAAATTGTCTTTCGGGTGTTGCAAGTATAAAAAATAAAAAGAATAGCTAGGGAGAAGTCTAGATTCCTGAATTTTTATATCAATTCGAGGTTTTCTTTAAAAATGCGTCAGTTGAAATTTGTTGCTCTTGCTGTGAATTCAGAATGGAATTGGAACAGCAGAATCTGAATTATTTTGCCTTTATATCAGTAATTTCTTGAATATTATTGCATTTTTTCATGTTTTAGTTACATTTTTTCCATAATTAATTGTTATAAATTGATATAATTGATCTTCCCGTGGTTGACTATTCTGCCGATATAAATGTGCATTAACATATTATTTCCCTCATTTATTCTGCTTTTATATCGATAATTTCTTAAGTACCATTGATATCTTATGTTATTTTCTACTTTATTTTTTGTATTTTGGTGTTTTAAATTGAGAAAAGTAATCTTGATTTTATTTCAATATGGCGTCGATAATCTTCAATACTTTTTGGCGGGGAATTCAAATGTCTCACTTATTCTAACCAGTGTTTAAGCTTTTGTATTTGTTGATTATTGATGATCTCAATTCAAAATTAACTTTTATACACTGAATAATACGTATAGTAATATAATAGGCATGGAAATTTGATTAATATTAATGATTTAAAAAAAAATTATTAAAGAATTTCTTTTACATATGAGTAGTTGATTTGAAATATTAATTAGTCGAGTACACATGATGTATCATTGAAGCACATGTTTGCAAAAACATGTTCTTTTATTTTACAGAACTATATTTAGAGAGGAAATAAAATACTATTAAATGAATCCTTGTCAATGTAAATACAGTGCTATTGCTTTAATAATTACAGAATTGTTAATATAGCATCTCTCAATATCAACCAACTGAGATCATCAGCAGAGTGTTTCCATCCAACTACCATTCAACATCTGCTTATTAGTTTGGTGAGTAAAAGAATAAAAAACTCTACTTCTTTTTTATAATTAAATATACTTTGATTAGAGTCTGAAATACATAACATAATTAGAATGCAAGTAGTTTTTACATAACAACTACATATGTATATCAGCATTTTTTATTATTATGATTAATAGTATCAGTATTTATGAATAAATATCAATTATTTTATTACACTGTTCAAAATTAGAGTCTCTCATTTAAAATAGAATGATTTTTGAATATTTCATTGTCCTCAATGAATGCAATGTTATTAATATGAAAAAAATATGGTCCCAGTATAACAGTTTTTTACATAATAATTTGGTTGAAGAATAAAGATACATTATTATTTCTCTGTATTTATATTTTATGGTTATTATATTCATGTGTTTTGCTTAACATAAGCTTTATTTAAATGTAAGGGTAAGTACAGTGTTCATACTTATGTCAGTTTATTTATGATTAGCTGTAACCTTCTAATATTTATGATAAGGCACAGATATTTTATATAAATTACATTAATAGAGGAGACAGCGGAAAATTATAAATTTAAAAAAAGCAACATTTTAGGCAAAATAAATAAAATTTCAGTAATCCTGTGTTACACTGCCAAAAAAGTCAGAATAATCACTCATTTGTTCATATCGATTGACAGCATTTGTTAAAATAACATACAGTTTTCAATTATACACTAAGCAGATAGTACAAGAGTATATCAAGCTTTCCTATCCTCCTCTAAATCTATGTTATATTTAATACAATAGTATTAATAACACAGTATTAATAACATAGTATTATAAATAAGTTTGATGCCAAAGAAAAACATGGTATAACAATATTATATTTCATTGATTAATTGTAAGGAGAAGCTTTTTCCATTTGCTATTTGTGTACGCAGAATGTTGTTAATTTTGATTTGTTCTATATCTTCCTATAAGATTTGTATCATTTTTAATCAAACATTGGTTTATTTTTCTTGATCTGTGCCTTATCTCCTATTTTTTATGCATTATTATCCATAATCAACAGATCCGTTTGCTTCTACTTTCAGTTTTGCAATTATATTGTTATTGAAAGTTTTTATTGGTACTTCAGTCACTGTTACTGAAGTTACTGAATGGATAAATTAAATTTTCATTAATATTATTCAAATACCTGCTTTTTCTTGAACCGTGATTATATCTATGTAGTATTATCAAGCCAATTTATTCTATTGTTTGTCATAGCATTTTCCTGTACAATTTAGTGCAATATCTTATATTTTCCTGCTGTGTGTTACATTTATTTTTTTTGTTACTAATTCTTCTATACTTGATTGAGGTTATCAATTTGCGAGCTAAAATCCCCACCCACTATTATGGGGATTGAATTTTTCTTTATCTTCCATCAGTATTTCCCATAATGTTTTCACTAGCTGGTGAGAATTCTATGCTTTTTTGATTGATTATAATTTTTCTATATAATTTTTGTACATACATTGCACATAAGTGTCAAAATTTATATCTGAAATAATATGTTCTTAAATATTTCTTATCAAAATCACACCATAGGAAAGTGTTATTGAAGCAATATTTCCCTTTATTTATTACATAATTACAATAATATAAAATATAATACAAGATGGGTGTTGCTGAAAAAAGTACATTATTCGATTTCTTCGCTGATATATATTGTATGAACGTTTCCATTACGATTAGCATTACAGTTTCGAAACTTCTACCAATGGCTGTGATTGGTCGCGCCATGTTGGCGTCCTGTCATTTCGACCAATCAGACACGTCCTTGTGTGAGCGAGTGCGTCGATTTGTGACGCAGTATATCATTTCTCTTCGAAACTTCGTCCGTTATGCACGTGTCTGCAACAGGTAAGATTAAATTATCTTCAAACATTAAATTAAATTGTCTTTCGGGTGTTGAAAATACAAAAAAGAGAAAGAATAGCCGAAAAGAAGTCTAGCTCTTTGTTTTTTGACATTAATTCGACATTATCTTCAAAAATACGTGAGGTAAAATTTTTGCTCTTGCCGTGAATTGACAATGAAGTTGGAAGAACATAATCTGAATTATTTTTCCTTTATATCAATAATTTCTTTAACATTATTGCATTTTTTCATGTTTTCAATACATATTTCTCATAATTTACTGTTATAAATTGTGATACTTGATTTTTCCATTTCTGACTATTCTGCCGATATAGATACCAAATAAAAAGATATTTCCTTCATTTATTCTGCTTTTACATCGACAATTTCTTAAATTTCGTTAGTATCTTATGTTCTTTCTACTTTGTTTCGTATATTTTGGCGTTTAAAGTTGAGAAAAGTAATCTTAACTTTATTTCAATATGGCATCGATAGTTTTTAACGAACCTTTCCCTTACGATTAGTATTAAAGTTTCGAAGTAATACGAAACTTCTACCAATGGCTGTGATTGGTCGCGCCATGTTGGCGTCCTCTCATTTCGACCAATCAGACACGTCCTTGTGTGAGCGAGTGCGTCGATCTGTGACGCAGTGCATCATTTCTCTTCGACACTTCGTCCGTTATGCACGTGTCTGCAACAGGTAAGCTAAATTATCTTCAAACATTAAATTAAATTGTCTTTCGGGTGTTGCAAGTACAAAAAATAGAAAGAATAGCTGGGGAGAAGTCTAGCTCTTTGTTTTTTGACATTAATTCGACATTATCTTCAAAAATACGAGAGGTAAAATTTTCTCTCTTGCCGTGAATCGACAATGAAGTTGGAAGAGCATAATCTGAAGTATTTCCCCTTTATATCAATAATTTGTTTAACATTATTGCATTTTTTCATGTTTTCAATACATATTTCTCATAATTTACTGTTATAAATCGTGATACTTGATTTTTCCATTTCTGACTATTCTGCCGATATAGATACGAAATAAAAAAGTATTTCCTTCATTTATTCTGCTTTTACATCGACAATTTCTTAAATTTCGTTAGAATCTTATGTTCTTTCTACTTTGTTTCCTATATTTTGGCGTTTAAAGTTGAGCAAAGTAATCTTAACTTTATTTCAATATGGCGTCGATAGTTTTTAACGAACCTTTCCCTTACGATTAGTGTTAAAGTTTCGAAGTAATACGAAACTTCTACCAATGGCTGTGATTGGTCGCGCCATGTTGGCGTCCTCTCATTTCGACCAATCAGACACGTCCTTGTGTGAGCGAGTGCGTCGATCTGTGACGCAGTGCATCATTTCTCTTCGACACTTCGTCCGTTATGCACGTGTCTGTAACAGGTAAGATTAAATTATCTTCAAACATTAAATTAAATTGTCTTTCGGGTGTTGCAAGTACAAAAAATAGATAGAATAGCTGGGGAGAAGTCTTGATTCCTGAATTTTTACATCAATTCGAGGTTTTCTTTAAAAATGCGTCAGTTGAAATTTGTTGCTCTTGCTGTGAATTCAAAATGGAATTGGAACAGCAGAATCTGAATTATTTTCCCTTTATATCAGTATTTTCTTGAATATTATTGCATTTTTTCATGTTTTTGTTACATTTTTTCCATAATTAATTGTTATAAATTGATATAATTGATCTTCCCGTGGTTGACTATTCTGCCGATATAAATGTGCATTAAAATATTATTTCCCTCATTTATTCTGCTTTTATATCGATAATTTCTTAAGTACTATTGATATCTTATGTTATTTTCTACTTTATTTTTTGTATTTTGGTGTTTTAAACTGAGAAAAGTAATCTTGATTTTATTTCAATATGGCGTCGATAATCTTCAATACTTTTTGGCGGGGAATTCAAATGTCTCACTTATTCTAACCAGTGTTTAAGCTTTTGTATTTGTTGATTATTGATGATCTCAATTCAAAATTAACTTTTATACACTGAATAATACGTATAGTAATATAATAGGCATGGAAATTTGATTAATGTTAAAGAATTAAAAAATATTTATTTAAAAATTTTTGTTTTGTGAATATGGACATTTTTTGAAATATTAAGTGGTTAAATATACAGGATGTACCACTGATGTATACATATATGTGAAAAAATGTGTTTTCTTTTGTTGCAGAAGTTCATTCCAATAAAACATCAAAAGCCTGATATAAAACTATTAAATGAATCTTCCTCAAATTAAAGGTAAGTTTTATTATTAAGTATTTGCAGTAAATTGTTATGGTAAATTTAAAATAGCTCAAGTGTAATATTATTGTTGTGTGTTCCTTTTTGTTGCAGAAGTACATTCTAATAAAAGATCCAAAGCATCATATAAAGCTATTAAATGAATCTTGCTCAAATTAAAGGTAAGTTTTATTATTAAATAGTTGCAGTAAATTATTACGGTACATTTAAACTGGCTTAAATGTAATATTATTGTTGTGTGTTCTTTTTTGTTGCAGAAGTACATTACAATAAAACATCAAAAGCCTCATATAAAACTATTAAATGAATCTTCCTCAAATTAAAGGTAAGTTTTATTATTAAATAGTTGCAGTAAATTATTACGGTAAATTTAAATTGGCTTAAATGTAATATTATTGTTGTGTGTTCTTTTTTGTTGCAGAAGCACATTCGAATAAAACATCAGAAGCTTGAAATGGAACAATTAAATGAATCTTCGTCCAGTTAAAGGTAAGTTTTATTATTAAGTAGTTGCAGTAAATTATTGTGTAAATTTAAAATGGCACAAATGTAATATTATTGTTCTTCTAATTGCCGAATTATCAACTAGTGCCTGTATGTCAACATCCTACCTACTACACTAGTCTACATCATCAATCTACTTAGGAGACCATCCGACGGGTGCTTTCTTCCAGCTACTTTTCAATAGTCAGTCACCGGTTGGGTGAGCCCCAAGAGTTACAAATTTTATTCTTATTTTAAGTGAGCATAGTGACCCATGAGTGGATGTATACTCATGGAAATATGTTACATATTTTTCATATCTTTTTTCATTTTTATATTGTTGTATTTCTTAGTTCAGGCTAGGGTCTTCTTGTCTCTTTTTAAAAAATAGTTTGTAGGATAGAAGTCGGATGACCCTCCGATTTCACAAATAAAATACAACTTTTAAAATATTTTTTTAATTAAAAGATACTTAAATTTTGATAATGTATACAAAATTTGTATATTTCATATGCAGTAAATATTACGTACATTTGCTACAATAGATTGACTATACTATAATATTTCAATGCAGTATATTAAAATATTGTTGATTTAAATATGTTTTATGAGCAAGAAGACATTTCGCGGCGGTTAGATTCTAACGTCGAAGTAACATTTTCGAATGTACATTTGATGTAACTTGGACAATTTACTTCGACATGCAATCAACCGAGGATGTATTACATGTATTAATTATTAAATTGCATTTCCAACAGATATAGATCCATTTAACAGATACTTCAAGTTTTTGCTTAAAGTAGAGTGATTTTTTTTTACATATTTTTTTTTTTAGCTATGATTAAATACAGTTTAATTATTTTAATAAAATTATTTTAATAATTATTTAATTCAATTGCAATTTTTTATTTTATCGGAGTCTTGTATTACAAATAGAATCATTTTTTAATGTTTTATTCTTCTAATCAATTTCAATCTCATCAGTTCAAAGAAAACATAGTTTCAACGTAAGAATGTTTTACACAATAATTTATTTTCAAATTTAAAATGTTTATTAGCCCGTTAGCTTTACTATGTACTAATTTATCATTTTAGCTTAGGATTTTCAGCTTCACACGGTAGGTGTATTATTTCTTTGCCCGTATTCATTACTTATTAGCCTGAGCTCATCAACGAACCCAGGTGTGCGTTGTGTGGGTAAGGGCGGTGGGTACGGTTTTAGAATTAAGGAATATTACAGCGATTGACAAACGTATTAGCGTATTGTGCACGATGTACGTTTCACATGTGTGTGTGTGTGTATTTAAATTAGTGGAATGTACGTCGATTTTATTATTCAACTTAAATAGTTTATATAAATACATACAGAATAAATATATTACATATCTAATCAATATTTTCCATATTACATACTGTATGTATAATATCATACAATCATATTACATTGAATGGATACTTGTTTGAGAATATTTCATGTATAAAAATCATAATAATATTTTACAATATATGAAGAAAATTTACCATTTGAATACCATATTCTTTTTTTAAATCAATGAAATACTAATTATTACTGTACTTAGTTTTATAAAGAACAGAATGACTCAAAGTCAGCATTATAGCATAAATAATTTTACATTCCAATAATAGTTTTATATGACATTAATATTATATTAATAATAACGCAATATACGCTACGTTGTCAGTCGATTACAGGAAATGGTACGTACATAAAGTATAAATGTGTGTGTTACAAGCTTGGGTGACGGAGGCGTCCCGGGACGTTCTCTCTAGGGTAGGCTTGCACCCAGGTGTTATGTGTGAGTACCGTGGATTGTGTGTGTTGGAATGAATGATTTTTGCTTTTTTAAATATAGGGATAGGCAGGCAGGTAGCTTACTTCTGGAGTGTGTGATTTAGATGTAAGTAGGAAGGGCCAGGAAAGCAGACCGCTCACATTTCTCTTTCGGGTAGGCTTATAGGTCCGGTGAAAAGTCTGCACCTGGGGTAGTATAATCGGAATCAATTACTTTTTAGTTAATTGATTTTGATTAAATCTTGGTCTATACCTAGTATGTAAGGTCGCCCGCGGCTTTAGGCCCGGACGAAAAAGGACTACTTCAATGAAATCTGTTCAAAAATTCCTTTTTTTTTTGTTGCATGCTTCGGACAGCTATTCTATTTAATAGTTGGTCGTTGTGTGTGACACTCATTTTCAATATATTTCACATTTTTATGGAATCTTTGAGCTGATTCATTGAGTAGTCGAAGAAAGAAGATCGTCGTTGGACATCGTGGGACATCATCGCACATCACCAAAGGATGTCTTTCCTTCTTTTTATGGAAAGTCATCCTTCAATTCTGATATAAGTACATATTAATATCTTTTTTACTACTTTTTACAGTCACTATGCTCACTAGATATCTATTGTCAATTTAACATGTTCAGTAATAGCACTTAATTAGAAATTCGTCCATCATAGACTATTTCTTTTCTTATATTATGAAATAACATAAAACAAAGAAATATTACTATAGACTATGCATATTATTATATTATATTATTTTATGGATTTTGTGATAGACTCTGAATTGCAGGTATTTTAAAACATATGATACAAAATATTTTGATAGATATACGTGATTCTAGTAGCAAACATGTTAAATTGCAAATTGTATTACATTTTCTCTACAAATGACGTCATCAAGTATAACTACGTCATTGTGAACTGACATTATATGTTGTTTTTCAATCAAATTAAATTAAATCATTTAAATCAAATTGATTGCTACATTAACAAGTAAAGTCACGCGATTCTTCTTTTTCTTTTAAATTAATTTTTATCGTTATCCTTTTTATAATTTTTTATTAGCTTCCAATTTACTTACATTTTTAAATTATTGCATTCAAGTAAATTTTAACAATGACAAAACAAGATTTACCTACATAGACGAATAATTTTCTACGATAACCCAACCCCGATAATTACTTGTTTATCAATAAAAATAAAATGATATTATATAAAAACAAGTAAAACTCAATTTATCATATTTTATTGATATTGCACTGTACATTTGTATTGTTTCAATTGTGGTGTACTTTTTATCATCTCAAATCACCCCCTGTGGGCGGGGGGATGTAGAATACGCCCATAGTATCCCTGCTTGTCGTAAAAGGCGACTAAAAGGGAGCGTCTGTGCCACCGTTAATAAATTTCAATTTCATATTTTTAATTTTTAATCAAGGCATTCGAGCTGTTTTATGAAAATTTCCAGTAGCGGTGCGAACGAATTGAAATCGCGGGTAGGAATGCGATCGACTACAATGATATTCCACGCTTACCGAGCGTGATGACGGGGATTAGGGAGCCAACGCGTCGCCACGAGAAACTGATAAGGCTCACGCGGTTTATTTGCGAAATTCGGCGGCTAACGAATTGAATTCGCGGGTAGGAATGCGATCGACTACAATGATATTCCACGCTTACCGAGCGTGATGACGGGGATTAGGGAGCCAACGCGTCGCCACGAGAAACTGATAAGGCTCACGCGGTTTTTTCGCGAAATTCGGCGAATAACGAATCGAATTCGCGGGTAGGAATGCGATCGACTACAATGACATTCCACGCTTACCGAGCGTGATGACGGGTATTAGGGAGCCAACGCGTCGCCACGATAAACTGTTAAGGCTCACGCGGTTTTTTCGCGAATTTCGGCGACTAACGAATTGAATTCGCGGGTAGGAATGCGATCGACTACAATGACATTCCACGCTTACCGAGCGTGATGACGGGGTTAGGGAGCCAACGCGTCGCCACGAGAAACTGATAAGGCTCACGCCGTTTCTTCGCGAAATTATGCGACTAACGAATTGAATTCGCGGGTAGGAATGCGATCGACTACAATGACATTCCACGCTTACCGAGCGTGATGACGGGTATTAGGGAGCCAACGCGTCGCCACGATAAACTGTTAAGGCTCACGCGGTTTTTTCGCGAATTTCGGCGACTAACGAATTGAATTCGCGGGTAGGAATGCGATCGACTACAATGACATTCCACGCTTACCGAGCGTGATGACGGGGTTAGGGAGCCAACGCGTCGCCACGAGAAACTGATAAGGCTCACGCCGTTTCTTCGCGAAATTATGCGACTAACGAATTGAATTCGCGGGTAGGAATGCGATCGACTACAATGACATTCCACGCTTACCGAGCGTGATGACGGGGTTAGGGAGCCAACGCGTCGCCACGAGAAACTGATAAGGCTCACGCCGTTTTTTCGCGAAATTATGCGACTAACGAATTGAATTCGCGGGTAGGAATGCGATCGACTACAATGACATTCCACGCTTACCGAGCGTGATGACGGGTATTAGGGAGCCAACGCGTCGCCACGATAAACTGTTAAGGCTCACGCGGTTTTTTCGCGAATTTCGGCGACTAACGAATTGAATTCGCGGGTAGGAATGCGATCGACTACAATGACATTCCACGCTTACCGAGCGTGATGACGGGGTTAGGGAGCCAACGCGTCGCCACGAGAAACTGATAAGGCTCACGCCGTTTTTTCGCGAAATTATGCGACTAACGAATTGAATTCGCGGGTAGGAATGCGTTCGACTACAATGACATTCCACGCTTACCGAGCGTGATGACGGGGTTAGGGAGCCAACGCGTCGCCACGAGAAACTGATAAGGCTCACGCCGTTTCTTCGCGAAATTATGCGACTAACGAATTGAATTCGCGGGTAGGAATGCGATCGACTACAATGACATTCCACGCTTACCGAGCGTGATGACGGGTATTAGGGAGCCAACGCGTCGCCACGATAAACTGTTAAGGCTCACGCGGTTTTTTCGCGAATTTCGGCGACTAACGAATTGAATTCGCGGGTAGGAATGCGATCGACTACAATGACATTCCACGCTTACCGAGCGTGATGACGGGGTTAGGGAGCCAACGCGTCGCCACGAGAAACTGATAAGGCTCACGCCGTTTTTTCGCGAAATTATGCGACTAACGAATTGAATTCGCGGGTAGGAATGCGATCGACTACAATGACATTCCACGCTTACCGAGCGTGATGACGGGTATTAGGGAGCCAACGCGTCGCCACGATAAACTGTTAAGGCTCACGCGGTTTTTTCGCGAATTTCGGCGACTAACGAATTGAATTCGCGGGTAGGAATGCGATCGACTACAATGACATTCCACGCTTACCGAGCGTGATGACGGGGTTAGGGAGCCAACGCGTCGCCACGAGAAACTGATAAGGCTCACGCCGTTTTTTCGCGAAATTATGCGACTAACGAATTGAATTCGCGGGTAGGAATGCGTTCGACTACAATGACATTCCACGCTTACCGAGCGTGATGACGGGGATTAGGGAGCCAACGCGTCGCCACGATAAACTGTTAAGGCTCACGCGGTTTTTTCGCGAATTTCGGCGACTAACGAATTGAATTCGCGGGTAGGAATGCGATCGACTACAATGACATTCCACGCTTACCGAGCGTGATGACGGGGTTAGGGAGCCAACGCGTCGCCACGAGAAACTGATAAGGCTCACGCCGTTTCTTCGCGAAATTATGCGACTAACGAATTGAATTCGCGGGTAGGAATGCGATCGACTACAATGACATTCCACGCTTACCGAGCGTGATGACGGGTATTAGGGAGCCAACGCGTCGCCACGATAAACTGTTAAGGCTCACGCCGTTTCTTCGCGAAATTATGCGACTAACGAATTGAATTCGCGGGTAGGAATGCGATCGACTACAATGACATTCCACGCTTCCCGAGCGTGATGACGGGTATTAGGGAGCCAACGCGTCGCCACGATAAACTGTTAAGGCTCACGCGGTTTTTTCGCGAATTTCGGCGACTAACGAATTGAATTCGCGGGTCGGAATGCGTTCGACTACAATGACATTCCACGCTTACCGAGCGTGATGACGGGTATTAGGGAGCCAACGCGTCGCCACGATAAACTGTTAAGGCTCACTCGGTTTTTTCGCTAATTTCGGCGACTAACGAATTGAATTCGCGGGTAGGAATGCGATCGACTACAATGACATTCCACGCTTACCGAGCGTGATGACGGGGATTAGGGAGCCAACGCGTCGCCACGAGAAACTGATAAGGCTCACGCGGTTTTTTCGCGAAATTCGGCGAATAACGAATTGAATTCGCGGGTAGGAATGCGTTCGACTACAATGATATTCCACGCTTACCGAGCGTGTTGACGATGAGTCGGGAACTGCGAACTAATGGTTCCGATGCATTTGTACCATTATGTTATCATTTTCAAACAAGTATTGTCTTGTCACTTAATACTTAGTCTCACTAGTGTACAAGATCTCTTCGTGACTGGCGAGTGAAATATGTACGAGCAAAGTTCATCGCGTTGCATGCTCGCGAACGTGAACATTTTTGTGTGCCTCGTCGTTCTTAATCTTTTTTTTGTTTCGCGAAAATTCGTGTTTGAAAGGCACCGTAGGATAGCTTATGGGGAAAGATAGTACATATGTGGGTGGGGTTAGGGCCGGGGGGTACCAACACCGAAACGTATTTTATCCGATATACTAATCGTGAACGTGAATTAAGTGTGCCAGGCGTACGCGGACGGATAGGGGATTAGGAAAATGGCACACTCAGATCGCTCGCTTAAAATACGTATCAGAACTATGTGCGTACATACTTTGCAACACCAGTCGTTTTGAGAATTTCCAATTTTCTATTTACTTTATGACGAGACAATGTTTACCGCGTCGCGTCGTGATTACATTAGAGAGATAGCGAAACCTTGAATTAGAGCCGATGCTAAGGTGAAAGCTAAAGCTAAGGCTAAGGTGAAACCTGAGCTAAGGCCTAGGTGAAAGCCGAATCCAAAGCCTAGGTGTAAAACTAAAGCTAAGGTGAAGGTGATAGCTAAAGCTAAGGCGAAGGTGATAGCTAAAGCTAAGGCTGAGGTGGAAGCTAAAGCTAAGGCTAAAGCGAAAACTAAGACGAACGCTAAAGCTGAGGCTGAGGTGTAGAACGTGGTATATTCGCGAACTTCGGAGTCGAACGAATTCAATTTGCGGGTAGGAATGCGAGCGATTATACTGATATTATTCCACGCTTACCGAGCGTGATGGCGGTGATTAGGGAGCCAACGCGTCGCGTCGGGAAACTGAAAAGGCTCACGTGATATATTCGCGAGATTCCGCGTCGAACGAATTCAATTCGCGGGTAGGAATGCGAGCGATTATACTGATATTATTCCACGCTTACCGAGCGTGATGGCGGTGATTAGGGAGCCAACGCGTCGCGTCGGGAAACTGAAAAGGCTCACGTGATATATTCGCGGGTAGGAATGCGAGCGATTATACTGATATTATTCCACGCTTACCGAGCGTGATGGCGGTGATTAGGGAGCCAACGCGTCGCGTCGGGAAACTGAAAAGGCTCACGTGATATATTCGCGAGATTCCGCGTCGAACGAATTCAATTCGCGGGTAGGAATGCGAGCGATTATACTGATATTATTCCACGCTTACCGAGCGTGATGGCGGTGATTAGGGAGCCAACGCGTCGCGTCGGGAAACTGAAAAGGCTCACGTGATATATTCGCGAGATTCTGCGTCGAACGGATTCAATTCGCGGGTAGGAATGCGAGCGATTATACTGATATTATTCCACGCTTACCGAGCGTGATGGCGGTGATTAGGGAGCCAACGCGTCGCGTCGGGAAACTGAAAAGGCTCACGTGATATATTCGCGAGATTCCGCCTCAAACGAATTCAATTCGCGGGTAGGAATGCGAGCGATTATACTGATATTATTCCACGCTTACGGAGCGTGATGGCGGTGATTAGGGAGCCAACGCGTCGCGTCGGGAAACTGAAAAGGCTCACGTGATATATTCGCGGGTAGGAATGCGAGCGATTATACTGATATTATTCCACGCTTACCGAGCGTGATGGCGGTGATTAGGGAGCCAACGCGTCGCGTCGGGAAACTGAAAAGGCTCACGTGATATATTCGCGAGATTCTGCGTCGAACGGATTCAATTCGCGGGTAGGAATGCGAGCGATTATACTGATATTATTCCACGCTTACCGAGCGTGATGGCGGTGATTAGGGAGCCAACGCGTCGCGTCGGGAAACTGAAAAGGCTCACGTGATATATTCGCGGGTAGGAATGCGAGCGATTATACTGATATTATTCCACGCTTACCGAGCGTGATGGCGGTGATTAGGGAGCCAACGCGTCGCGTCGGGAAACTGAAAAGGCTCACGTGATATATTCGCGAGATTCCGCGTCAAACGAATTCAATTCGCGGGTAGGAATGCGAGCGATTATACTGATATTATTCCACGCTTACGGAGCGTGATGGCGGTGATTAGGGAGCCAACGCGTCGCGTCGGGAAACTGAAAAGGCTCACGTGATATATTCGCGAGATTCTGCGTCGAACGGATTCAATTCGCGGGTAGGAATGCGAGCGATTATACTGATATTATTCCACGCTTACCGAGCGTGATGGCGGTGATTAGGGAGCCAACGCGTCGCGTCGGGAAACTGAAAAGGCTCACGTGATATATTCGCGAGATTCCGCGTCAAACGAATTCAATTCGCGGGTAGGAATGCGAGCGATTATACTGATATTATTCCACGCTTACGGAGCGTGATGGCGGTGATTAGGGAGCCAACGCGTCGCGTCGGGAAACTGAAAAGGCTCACGTGATATATTCGCGGGTAGGAATGCGAGCGATTATACTGATATTATTCCACGCTTACCGAGCGTGATGGCGGTGATTAGGGAGCCAACGCGTCGCGTCGGGAAACTGAAAAGGCTCACGTGATATATTCGCGAGATTCTGCGTCGAACGGATTCAATTCGCGGGTAGGAATGCGAGCGATTATACTGATATTATTCCACGCTTACCGAGCGTGATGGCGGTGATTAGGGAGCCAACGCGTCGCGTCGGGAAACTGAAAAGGCTCACGTGATATATTCGCGGGTAGGAATGCGAGCGATTATACTGATATTATTCCACGCTTACCGAGCGTGATGGCGGTGATTAGGGAGCCAACGCGTCGCGTCGGGAAACTGAAAAGGCTCACGTGATATATTCGCGAGATTCCGCGTCAAACGAATTCAATTCGCGGGTAGGAATGCGAGCGATTATACTGATATTATTCCACGCTTACGGAGCGTGATGGCGGTGATTAGGGAGCCAACGCGTCGCGTCGGGAAACTGAAAAGGCTCACGTGATATATTCGCGAGATTCTGCGTCGAACGGATTCAATTCGCGGGTAGGAATGCGAGCGATTATACTGATATTATTCCACGCTTACCGAGCGTGATGGCGGTGATTAGGGAGCCAACGCGTCGCGTCGGGAAACTGAAAAGGCTCACGTGATATATTCGCGAGATTCCGCGTCAAACGAATTCAATTCGCGGGTAGGAATGCGAGCGATTATACTGATATTATTCCACGCTTACGGAGCGTGATGGCGGTGATTAGGGAGCCAACGCGTCGCGTCGGGAAACTGAAAAGGCTCACGTGATATATTCGCGAGATTCTGCGTCGAACGGATTCAATTCGCGGGTAGGAATGCGAGCGATTATACTGATATTATTCCACGCTTACCGAGCGTGATGGCGGTGATTAGGGAGCCAACGCGTCGCGTCGGGAAACTGAAAAGGCTCACGAGATATATTCGCGAGATTCTGCGTCGAACGGATTCAATTCGCGGGTAGGAATGCGAGCGATTATACTGATATTATTCCACGCTTACCGAGCGTGATGGCGGTGATTAGGGAGCCAACGCGTCGCGTCGGGAAACTGAAAAGGCTCACGTGATTTATTCGCGAGATTCCGCGTCGAACGAATTCAAATCGCGGGTAGGAATGCGGTCGACTATACTGATATTCGCATTTCGTTAGTATTTGTTTTTGAAGACGGTGGCACATTCGCAACCGTTAGGTTAGGTTGCATGGTGCAGAAGAAAAGAAGAGTTTGCAATGAAGACGAGGACGATGCCAATGAGAAGAAAATGCTGTAGAACAGCGAAGAAAGCGCGGAGGAAAAGGAGAACTCAACTGAATTGTCAGCGTTACGGAAGAAGAATAGAGATTGTTCCAGAAGAGGAAAGAGTAGGATTTTCAAAGGAGAGGACAATGCGGTACAGCTGCAAAAGCACAGCTGGCAAACGGAGAAGGAAGAAGACAAACCGAGAAGAAAGAAGACAAACGGAGAAGGAAGAAGACAAACGGAGAAAGAAGAAGACAAACGGAGAAGAAAGAAGACAAACGGAGAAGAAAGATGACAAACGGAGAAGAAAGAAGACAAACGGAGATGAAAGAAGACAAACGGAGACGGAAGGAGACAAACGGGGAATGAAGAAGACAAACGGTGAAGAAAGATGACAAACGGAGATGAAAGATGACAAACGGAGAAGAAAGAAGACAAACGGAGATGAATGAAGACAAACGGAGATGAAAGAAGACAAACGGAGACGGAAGGAGACAAACGGAGAATGAAGAAGACAAACGGAGAAGAAAGATGACAAACGGAGATGAAAGATGACAAACGGAGAAGAAAGAAGACAAACGGAGATGAATGAAGACAAACGGAGATGAAAGAAGACAAACGGAGAAGGAAGGAGACAAACGGAGAATGAAGAAGACAAACGGAGAAGAAAGATGACAAACGGTGAAGAAAGAAGACAAACGGAGAAGAAAAAACACGAACGGAGAAGAAAGAAGACAAACGAAGAAGATAGAAGTGCTTAGGACGCTGTAGTTAGGACGAAGAAGAGTACGCTCTGAAAGACTGAAGCAGGGGACAGAAAGGAAGAAAAATGCTACAATATGGAAGGGAACGCGGCAGAAGAGGAAAGAAGAGAAGATGCTCCATAGCATCGAAGATCGTAGATGCCAGGTTGTTGTTTTTGGTGGAGATTTATTTCTGAGATCTGTTTTAGGGTCAGCGAAGGAAGCGGGGATATTGGAGAAGAAAAGTGGAAGCTACAGAACGGAAAAGGAGGCCGCGGAACAGAAGAGAGGAGGCTGCAAAACAGAAGAGGAGGCAGCAGTGGAAGCACCGGAAGCAGTAGTGGAGTCACCGGATGTAGCAGTGGGCAAGCAGTAAAGGAGGCATCGGACACAGCAGCGAAGATTGCAGATGCCAGAATGTAGTCTTTGGTGGAGATTTATTTCTGAGATCTGTTTTAGTGCCATCGAGGGAAGCGGGGATATTACAGAAGTGAAGTGGAAGCTACAGAACAGAAGAGGAAGCTGCGGAACAGAAGAGGACGCTGCAGAACAGAAGAGGAAGCCGCAGAAGAGAAGAGGAATTTATAGAACAGAAGTGGATGCGGCAGAACAGAAGCCAATGCAGCTGAAGAGAAGGGGACGCAGCAGAATAGAAGAGAACGTAGCAGAACACAAGTGGACGTTGCAGAATCATCGATGGCAGCACATGAGACAGTGGCAGTAGCAGAAAAAAGAAGATAAGTATCTATTTCAATTTCATTTGATCTTATTTATTTATTTCTTACTTCTTATTATTTATTTAATTTTTTTTTATTTTCTCCTTTTCTAATACTTATTTTTGTGTGTTTCAGGAGTTGAGATCTACGGTATTTTAGCATATTATCAACATATGTGTGTGCCTGTGTTTGTTTCAGATTAGAAAAATTTTGGACACCGATGATCATGAACACGAAGAGTTTATTGGTTCTCGTTTTGCACTTGTTTTTGTTGTCCCTTATATTGTCTTTGTCATTTTGTTTAATGATGATGGGTTCCTTATTGGCAGTGCCGAAGAAATGTTGCTGAATAACAACGTTGGAATCACTTTTTAGCTTCTAGTTAGGGAGGATTTAATCTGTAAAAAACAATGGTTTGTACGAAATTTTGAAATGGGTAAAACGGCATTATGATTGCACTGAGGTTGTATCTTAGCTTTTTATATAGGTAGGTCACAGTGTGGAAATGATTGTTGAAAATGGTTTAGCTTTTAGTTAGGGAGGATTTAAGCTGTAAAAAACAATGGTTTGTACGAAATTTTGAAATGGGTAAAACGGCATTATTGTTACACTGAGGTTGTATCTTAGCTTTTTATGTAGGCAGGTTACAGTGTGGAAACGATTGTTGAAAATGGTTTAGCTTCTAGTTAGGGAGGATTCAATGTACATTGAATAAAGGATTGGAATTATTCCTGTGTATCTTTAGCTTTTTAGTTAGGTAGGTTCGGTCACGTGACTGGAATATATGGTTCATTTCCTGTGAATTTGAAGGTAAAATGTTAATCGATGGATTTGTTCTGATTTTCTCACCGATGGGATTTGTGTGTTGTTTCCATTATAGATACTTTTTATCAGTATCATAATGGTTTTGTGTGTTGTTTCCATTATGGATACTTTTTATCAGTATCATAATGGTTTTGTGTGTTGTTTCCATTATGGATACTTTTTATCAGTATCATAATGGTTTTGTGTGTTGTTTCCATTATGGATACTTTTTATCAGTATCATAATGGTTTTGTGTGTTGTTTCCATTATGGATACTTTTTATCAGTATCATAATGGTTTTGTGTGTTGTTTCCATTATGGATACTTTTTATCAGTATCATAATGGTTTTGTGTGTTGTTTCCATTGTGGGTACTTTCTATCAGTACCATAATGGTTTTGTGTGTTTTCAAGATTCATGCTGAGGTCTATTCGAAATTAGTACCGTTTCCGGGTAGGCTAGTTGACATATCCATTTGTGTAACATTTACAGAATGTACATGGGTCGTACGTTCTGTAACTGTACAACAAATGGAGTAATACTGAAAAAATGTATGATACTACATTTGGTTGTATTATAGTACATTTTTTTATTTGCAAAAGGAAGGGTGGATGGGTGCGGATCGGGCGGGTCTCCAGTCGCGGCAACCTCCACGTGGTGAGACCTGGGCAATCATATTGATCATAATGTAATTACTAATCATTTATAGAAAGTTCAGTTATTCGTGGCTTATACAAGCAAGGTATTATTATATAATTTATTAATTATTTTATTATGAGCAATATGAGCAAATGGCTGCGAGTTTTATATATGTAAATGCAATTTTGTTGTTCATAGTTGCGACATTTATGTAGTATCTAATTATTCCCGGTTGCCTTAGAAGCAACTGGCGAAAATTACAATTACAAAGGATTTCCCCCCATTTGTGGGGAGTTGCGTTTCTAGGGACCCTAGCCTCCTATTACGCCTACCGAGCATTCTGTCAAACAACTGGCGAAAATGAGCTTTTAAGTTACGTTGGTAATTCAGAACGTTCGCTCCGAGAATATCTTACCGGCAAACTGGCTGATTAGGGTTCTGTTTCTTACTATGGGCGCAATACATTCTAGAGGGCGTAACAACTGTGTATGTAGTTCCAGTCGTTTTTTATAGATGACGTTAGTATTCCTTTATTTATAGAGTATGTATTTGAAGTCGTAGAATAATTTGACGGCCTCGGAAAAGCCCGAAAGTTTCTTATTTTGCCAAAAAATGAAATTTTCTATTCTGTTAGTTCCTAAGTTCATCTCTGTCCAACTGTGTTGGGTCCATTTCGCCCCATTTGGAAATCATCCAAAGTTTAACTGCATCTTCCGAAATTTCCATTGTGAAGATAAATAATTTGAAAACATATTTCACAGATTGGCAAAAACCTTCTCGATCACGTTTAACGATGCAATAAAATTTTTAATATTTCTGAGAATACTTGGCATAATTAAAATAAATGATTATTCGCGATTCAAGCGCGTAAACGCAGAACACCGTAAAAATATTTAAAGATATTTCATACCGAACGCGTTGCTTGACGACCACTTGAAATTTTATTGTTCTAGTCCTGTCGGATTTTATGATCCCGAATTTTACGATAACCAGTCTTTTCCCAGGACCTGAGCTCCAAAAACGATCCTAAAGAATATTCCATTTAACGCCATATCCGTTCTCCGTAGAAAAATTACCTGTATTCCGTACAAATATTCAAACCTATAAAGACACTTTTGATGGTCGAATTAAAAGAAACAACGAACATCAAAGGGTATCGCGTTAAAATTCATTCAACGTTCTGAAAAATGTCGAAGCGAAGACTGATTTTTTTTCTAAAAGCATGGTGGGAGGTGAAGGAAGCGGAAAGAAAGCTGTCGAAATGTCTGGTGATCATTCTTCGTTTCAAAACGGCAAATACGAGTCCCTCTGTTGTCCCGGGTGGTTCCTACGGGGCTATAAGCCGCTGGTCCAGCCTCTTCTTTCCGCGGCTCAAGAATGGATGATGGAACGGTGGAGCGCCGTCGAAAACGGTGAATAAACGAGCACCGGCGTGATTTGTGGGCTGCTTATTCCGCGCGATCGTCGCATTTATTTCGACGAGCTGCCATGTCGTCAGCCATATCTCGATGAAGTACAACAGGAATGTTTGAGAAGGTAAAGAAGCAGGTGTTTAACACTGCCGGTGACATTCAGATTTGTTCATCCTCATCGCTGTAGACTTTGTTTTGCTTACATTAGAGCGATATCTGAGCTACTGAGTATTCGGTTTGTAAGAAAAGACGTTTAGCTTTGATTTCATTTTATTTTTAATTATTAGCAAAAAGAGGATGGTCCCATAAAAATTGAATTTAAATTCATTCGAGAGGTAAATAATATATCAACGAAAAAAGAGCGTTTGATGATTCTTCAAGGGTATAGTATTTTTACCCTACCATCAATCTCCATGAAGCTCTACAAAAATGCTTTACCCAAGCCCATCTCCTCTGTATTTTCCGTTTCATCGATTCTTTTCTCAAACAATATCCATATCTCTATTTACGGTCCATCATCGTGTATCATGCTAAGAAATAAAAACGACGACGTACAACTTCCCTTCAGGGTATTATTCCTTCGCTTTTGTTGATTGCCGTCTAACCGCTTATCCAAGTATGCGAATATTCCACGGGTAAAACGTTCGGTTTCATCGAAACATCTTCCAACAATGCTTTCAGTTCTGTCTTCAAAATTTCACCGAACAAACGTATCAACGGTGGAGCTTAAAAAAAAACGAAAGGATTAAGCAGAGCTTTCATCCTCCGTTCTGTCGTTACGTCTACACGCGTATCGAGTTCTTCTTTTCTTTCATCCATTCGAGTTTTTCTCGATTCGTTAGCAGACAATCGTGATTCGTAAGACAGCCTCCCGTTTCCGTTTCGCGGAGATTGAAAATGCTTCGAAGGTGAAAAAGAAACTCTATAGAAACGAGCTACTCTCGATAGAACAGGGTAGCCTTTCTCTTTATCTGTTGCACGAGTTCGCTTTCAATTAACCGATACAGGGATATAATTAATGGCCGTTCGATTATCAGTAGCCTTTTTCTCGTCACGGTCTCTTGTACCGCGAACGATAACAGGCCAGGCTGTATGCAAATTAACGAAAGCTTGGAGATCCGCTTTGTGGAAAATACGCGTCGCGCTAACACGCGGTCGCGATGATTTAATTGCTATTACCATAATAGTGAATAATTTTCTCGGCCAGCGGTAATTATTAATTACCTCCGACCACCTGGTATCGCGGATATCAATCACCATAATTTCACCAGTAAGTGCGTGATCATTTTTAACACCGCTGAGTTCAGGATTCGGATAGTAATTTTGTCGACGAAAGTTCGGACGAAACTACCCGCGTTACGATCGAGTCTATGTGAAATTAGCCTTAATCACGATGGAAATATCAAGAGAAACGACCTGCTGGTCTGGTAATTAACATGGAAGCCAGCGGTTAGATCGATAAGAGGAATACCGAACGATGGTAGACGAACGCGCGCCTTAATTATCGCGTCAGAGCAACGATGTGCGTTCAATAGCAAAATTACATCGAACCGGTCCAGGATACCGGGCTATAATAAGCTGCTCTTTAAAACCAACCGACCCTGCTTGCATTGCTCGTTCAAAAGCTCGACCGCCACGGAACCGTGCTTACAGGATTTCCGCGATTCAACGTTCCTTATTTGGACTCAGCAATGAGAAAACAGGCTCGGGAAACAAATATTCCTCGGGTTGCTTTCAAATTACACCAACGAGAGAAAGGATTTCCTCTTCCAGCAACGTAATTATTTTTCTAAACAAGATCTCTACATTGTTTGCTCAACTAAAAGTTCATTATGATCATTCAAGTATTAAGGGCGTAAATAAGACCTCCAAGGGTTAATTGGCTTAACGTTTGGAAAGGAATGAAGAAATTTTCAAAAAAAAGTAAAAAAAGGGAAAGGTTGTTTCCTGCTGGTTTCACGGAAAGCAGATTTCATATTTATAACATCCTATCTTACCACCCCTCGGTAGGTTTTTATTTGGTCGACTATCGCAGCACGTTGTTCGCTAAACATTTTTGCAAAGTTTGTAAGGAGCGCTGATGTAAATATTTAATCAACCCTCGACGATCCCGAAGTAGAACACACGCTTCAACAGGAACGACTCTCGCCAACTTTAATACGCGTAATGCACCCCCGACGTTTCAGCGAATAAATTACGTTTATTGAATGAAATGTTGCGATGGCGGACAGCGCGTTAACACCTTCGTTTCGTCGGCAATAAATAAGATTCTGTAATAACGAATAGATTTCTTGACGACTTGGAAGTTTCATCAGGATTTACATTTATAGGCAAGGATTCAGACGGTTTGGCTTATAATTTTTTCAAATTTCTTGGCTTATTTTAAGGATGGCAGAAAATGTTCCGATGTTTTACTGGTATCACCGTTCACCCTCATTCCGTATTCGAGGATTTGAGACCGCCTTCTGTTTCTCGGCGGAAGCCCGCAATTTATTCCTAAGAGCCTATAAAAATTTCAGACACATTGCTCTCGATGCTCCGTACAAGGTACTCGAATCGTCTTACGCGTTTGAAACAAGTACGCTGGCCTTTAATGGCGTTTCTATTACCTCGTGCAAGTGATTCCCTTTTTACGGTAAAGAGCACTCCCTTAAGACTGTACCGATTTTCAGTGCGCATCTGTTAAATTTATTTGCATAATCATACCTTCTCACACTATTTGTAACGAACCATAATCACTGTTTATTTGCAACCAGCCTCCTACTAAGTGTTGTGTTCCTTCGCAAATAGGATCAGCTTGTTTCACTTGAACAAAGTAAATAGAGAGCTCGCTTGTATCAAACTTTGTAAATCCTCTAATTTAGGTATTCACTTCCTTCCACTATATGAAACTTCGTCTCCTCGTACCTACTTACATAATTATGTTCTAACACGTGAAGCGGGGTCTGCTTGATTTTTGAAACAAAGTTTTACATAGAAGTTGCTTTAACATCTTTTTTTAATTCTGTCACAAGGTTGAAAATCCCAACCCAACTTGTGGTAGTAACACATTCCTCCGACCATCTTTATCACAGCCTACTAAATTACTTATGTAGCACTTTGACGATAATTATCAAGTCAGCAACCCATTAGCCGAAGTGCGCTTCGACGAAGCTTCGACGTCGTTGAAGTCCTCTTTTTTCCTTTTTTTTTTTGAATATGGAATTAAGCGGATATACCCGATACCTTGTTCCCTTGTCGTCTCGTTCCACGCCAAAGCTTCTTTCAATGAGCTCAATTTGCCGATATCGAGGCTGAAAGCCTCAAAAAAGGTACACGATCGACGATCAGCGCGCTTTGACACTCGTTCCACGCAGCGAACGTATTTTTTTCCACGCGTTTCACGCGGATACAGATGGCGAAACATAATTTTCGGATCGCGTCAAACGGTGGTCCGGCAGATTTTCAAGCACTCCTCGCAGGTATGCGGTATTTTATTAAACCTATATCACGCGTCACAGTCCAATTTCCACTGCAGTCTTCTTTTTTTTTTTTAGTTCACTCTCTGTCGAAATGCAAAAAAAAAAAATGCATAGCGCGAAAATAGTGATCGAAAATTGTTCCATCACTGAGAGTTAGTAGAGTTGCATGGATGAAGGGATTCTTTTGGATTAAAAGTACCACTTACTACTTCGTTTGAAATAATTCATTTTTCTTCTTTTTTTAAAAATAGGTTGGTGCATTGTTTTTACAGAGAACTTATTATTAGTACATAGGTGTTATTAAAGGTGGTCACGTGTTGTTGCCCTGTACACGCTTATTAGAAGATTAATAACAAGTGCAGCCCTTAGCCACTTATTTTTCCCCTTTCGTTGAAATCCATTTTTACATCCCTTTGATCTACGTCAGAACACGCGATAAACGTCTGCAGACACGTGACTTACGCGAATGTGTATCAACGCGAAGAAAACAGAGTGGCTTCGGTTACCTGGCTGATGTATTAATTCGAGCGGAACAACCTTCCGTCGTATTTTGCATAGAAAAACATTTACATTCGCGGATATCGTATATATGGACACGCGCCCGCGGAAAATTTGAAATTTAAATTATGCGCGAGCTATCGTAACGCGTGACGCGAAGCAACGCCCTTACCGTGTCGCGATCTTTATTGAAAATGCATCTTTTAACTGATTCGCTACTCGATTCATGAATCCCTTCGTTTATTATTCCTACGATTCTATAATTAAACGCGGTCGCCAATTAATTTCATATACTATGGTTGGTGAAGAAAGAAATGAAACGCTTTACCATTTTCAACGCGATTCCTTCTTGTAGATTTATTATTGTTCGGAAAGTCAGATTTATTTTTATTCGTGTCAATTCCCACAGTATTTCCAGCAGCATCAATCTACCGGTGTTTCAACGACGCATCGTAACCTGTATTTTTGGCTTGTCTATAGCGAACCGATATATTGCTATTCGACGCTCAAAGGGTTATTTCATTCGCGTGGTTTCGCCCCTCGTAACCGTTCCCAGAAATTTATTTTACAGCCCTCCGCTGTAAAGTCTCTACTAACGCAATGAAAACGGAAAAGCGCGCTTCAAAGGGTGAAACGAAACGTTGAAAGTAGGCGCTTCATTGAACCATCCGCAATTAATTATGAAACAATACGATCGTTGCTGATAAATCAAACAAATGTTGTCCATCGTGTTACATAGCTTCTTATAAAACCAGTTTTTTCTGTGTCATAATTCTTCGTCGAAAATGTTCATTATGAAACGTCTAATTATCAAAGTGTTACCTGCAAAGTGACGATCCGAGGCCATAAATTCCTTGGCTCACAATTAAGCAACTCTGACCACGATGCTAAGAGCACACCAAGACAGCCGCTTAAATCAAAGAGACCGGCATGAATGGTGTTAATCGACATCGTCGTTAGTGGAGCCACGGAAGCGTTGCCGGCAAGATCGTCGCTGCTTATTTGGGGAGGAAATAAGCAGCTAACGCGTTGCATTTCCAGCTGCTATGCAAAGTCATTTCGACGGAGGATCGACGCGTATTTCGTGTTTTGTACCGCGGTATGCAGGCGCGATAAGCTCGCTGGGTTTCGTGACTGTTCATCCCAGCTAATCCGGCTCCGACCGGACGAGAAATGGTGTCCCTTGAAAAGCGCTGTGAATAACGCGTCCGTGACCAATTCACGCTCAGGGAACCAGGGTGCTGATGAAAAAGGCAACGACACCTGTCCAAGTGTTCCGTGAAATCGTGACACCGTGACCAAACGGATGGCTACGGCCGTCAGGTGAAAAAAGCGAGCCGGATAAAATATTATTCAATTATTGTATACACAGAAAGACAAGTTAGATTTCACGAAGAAATATTCGTCCAGATTTCGTTCAGTTTCGTGTTGTAACTCATTACATTCAAAACGGGAAGTATCTCAGACTCACGAACCTCTGTTCTAAACACCCTAATTTTTTCCTCGAATAGTCTTTAAAGAAAACGACCGTGCTCCCTTTACCGTCGTAGAAATAGCCAGTAAAGTTCCCATGGAAGCAGGTCTCGTTCGTTAAATATTTATGAGAAGTACCGTTACCTTCGATGTGTTTTTTCATTTTATTTTATTTTTCTTTTTCTTTTTTTTCTTTTTTTGGTGCCCCGTTTTGTTTTTCTCCTGTCTTTTCACTCGAGCGTACATACACACGCTAGCGGAAACTTTACAACGGCCTAGGTATTTGTCGGTGGCCGTCCAGCGCAGCGTCCGACCCGAGGGGTCATTTGTTATAAAAATGGCCCCGCATTGTAAACGGAGGAAGGACGCGAGAGTATGTCCTTGCCAGCATTTTCCCGTCCACGGTTCCAGCTATTTTCCAAAACTTTCCAAAAACCGTCATTCTCCTACGTTGGACGATTTCCTGTTAACGTACGCTCACCGGAAGTTGTTGCGAAACAATTAACGGTGTCGCTTCATAGAAAGGGTGAAACAGAAAAGAAGAAATTTCGTCTTTCAATTGGCTACTTTATATCGTTGATGGAAAGGAATTAGTTGAATTTGATGTATTCGTTCGTAACAATAGAGGGGGCTAAACACTCCCCAGGGAAGAATTAGAGCAGCCACGCGAGCGAAGCTTGGTGCATGATTTTAAATCAGCGCTTTGTTTCGCGGGACAAAGTGAAACAAGCCGGTAATTTGCCCCACCTCCGTTCTATTTATCGACGTTACGAAACACTTTAATAGTGGTTGCTGATTTTATTGCATTACTCCTGCCGCGCATACTTCTCGTTGATATTGCAGCGAGAAAGAAAACCAAAGTAAGGGTACAAAGTGAAATCACTTCGAGTTTCTCGATGAAGAAAGAATTTTGTAAGTACCTCTTTATTTTCGTCGAATTTTTCTTATATCATCAGCCGAGAATTGGTTGAAAATTCATTAAACAACTTCGTTAATAATCGGAAATAGCTTTCCTTTGTTCGATGCATATTCATCGTGCTCAAAAAAGTACTATTATTCGTGTTTTCGAAAATCAACAGAATCGAACGGCGACGAGTTGTTAACAATACTTCATTGTTGTTACTAGCGTGAAATGGTTACAGTATGAAATTACTTTCGAACTGGCCATCGAACATGAAACGCATTATTAAACACATAGAGGAGGGAAAAATTGTTAAATTCTTAAGTGGTGATAAAAGTTTCTCATTCGAACTTGCGAAGTTTCTTCTCCCCGAAGATTTACTTTTTACTTTAGTAATGAAGTTCTCGAACATTGTATTAATTCTTCAACAAAAATAATTAAACAAAGTAATCCTTAAATGTGATGCTTTGCTGTCGTGACATCTTCATCGCAGACGCATTAAGTTTGTAGCCACGTAAGCAATAGCTTACAATGTTGGATCCGTCAGACACTCCACAGGTTGATACTACTGGCAGAGCAATATTAGTTTACTCTACTCGCAGAGTGACTGTGCTCGCTGACACATTGACCGTTTTACGTTCCACAGAAGGATGTGGATTGCCTTAGAGTTTTCGCAATGATGTTTACTTCTTTTCAATAATGTCATATGAACGTTCAACCCCAATATCGCATAAAAAATAAATTATCAATCTATTTTGATCCTCTAATTGTTGAACCTCAAAATAACAAATGGGTGTATAGTTTCCGGTTTAATAGGTTAAGCAGTCTTCTCAGCCTGTAATTATCATTTAAACTGTTCGCAAGCTTATCGAGAATCGAATCTGAAACGGCATCCTCAAGGATCCGGATCAGCCATGTCCTTAAAGCCGGTGCAATTCACGTAACCAAGTGCAATAGTCCTGCAGCGAATACAGATGCATGTCGCGTAGTTGCAGAAGGAGAAAAAAGCTTCAAGTTCGAGCGTCTCCAGGAAGCTCGAGGTTAGGCGCCTCTCTCGTATCAGTGGCACATATACAGAAGGGGTAGGCGTGGCACCCTGTGCTGGCCCGTTGGGTGCTTGCGCGTGCACACACCGAGCGACAGACACACGCGTGTGATGTAGAAAGAGACGTGAGTGCGATGAGGAACACTGTCTACATTAAATAAAGACAGATGTTACGCGATGGAAAAAGCTCAAGTGCACGGTTGCAAGAGAGATGGAATATTGGTTAGTAGAAGGAACGAACAGGGTAGAAATATGATAAGGAACATTATCAGAGGGACAGAGAAATGTGATATTGATAAAAAAATAGGTGAAAAAGAGATCGTAATCTAGAGCAAGAGAGGTACTGTGAACATTAGAAAAACAAAGAGAGGGGAGCAAAAGATTTCGTACATCGTGAGAGGAAAAGAGAGGGAATGATTTCGAATGTAGGAGAGGGGGTACAGTTCAACGAGCGCGCGCGGGAGTGGGGGGCGAAGGAGAGCGAGACGGGATAGTGGTTTCAGTCACCGCCCGATCCTCGGCGCGCACGGTTTTCGGGTGGATATTCTTCGCGTCTTTCTCGTGAGAATTTGCAATTAACGAGGTCGTTTAAACAGTGACCCATACCATGGCTGTCGGTTGTTCACTACCAGAATTTTGATAGTACTTAGTTAAGCTTCGGAGCACACGGGTGCAGTGAAATTAACGGAACTTGTCTCAAGTTTTATCGATGATCTTGCTCGAAGGTTAAGTGTCTGCGGATGGATACAATTTTAAGACAGTTTTATTGAAATGACGTGAAAAACGAGGACGTTTTTACGGTTTAATTAAACACGGATAGGACGTACAGTGTTGGTGACGTGCGAGTATATTGGTACGGTGACAGTTATGGAATAACCTAGAATTTCATGTACGCCATTGTGTGCGCGGGTATCGATGTATCGATCGAGGCGATCACGTGGGCGGTCGATCTTGACGAGTGACGCTACGGTGTAACGAATCTTTACCTGGGGTCTGTCAAGCCAGAGGATATCGTTAGTGCGTAGAACGACAGTCGTGTGTGGGACATTTCTCCACGTTTTTGCTGGGAAAAGAGAGGGCGACGGATTTACACCCTTCTGCGGATTTCCTGATTTTCAACGACGAGATGCAGGAATTGGAGCAGTGGTGTCAATCGTTCGGAAAACTTTAGGTGAATACAATTTCTGCTCATACTTTATTTTCTGGTTATGGTATTACATTTTTGTGCGGATATAATAGTCATTAAACTGAAGAATATCAGTAGACGTTAATATTCCTCGATTACAAATAATTGAATAAACTGTTGCACCAGCGGAAATGGGGAATATTTTCCCTCTGTATACCGGTTCCATCCTCGCATCATACCGTTTATTAGATTTCCACGAGCAATTTCATAACGTGACTTACGTTGTTATCCCTTAGTTAGAAAGTAATTGCTATCGAGGAGAGCTTGCGAATCCACCGCAACGAGCTTCGAATATTGCAATTGCCGTAATGGTGTACGTGTATTCTAATGTAATACAGTTCTCTTCATCCTGTAACGAGGACTCTATAAAAGTACGGTCGTTATTATTGCTCGTGGAATGTAACTTCGTATCGTTACGCTATATTTGTTCCTTGACTCCATTTCTTCTCAAGACGCCTTAGAATACGTACCATATATCGCATAAAGGTCGTAAGACGCCAATTGAATTGAATAATTAGTAGGGGATACATATGTTGCATTGCATAGATAGCTTAGGACACATAGGTTGCATCATTGCTTGTATTCTATAAATACCAGAAGATGCACGTGGTGCGTAGTCAATTATGTTCCTTAATTAATACAAGACGTATAAGCTGCGTCTTTGGTTACATTACATACGTGTAAAATGAGACACATAAGGTATGTGTCGTTGGTTTCGAATGTATTAACCCCTGACCGTAAAAGCGACGCGAAGGAAGTGAAAAAATAGGGAAGGGACACAAAAGCGAGAAAACAAGGGTGCCAAGCGTATCTGAAAGTGACGACCGGTCGACGAAGGAGCGCTATTTCGCTAATGGAAAGTCGCCTCCACAAATCGGTGATACAGCCGTTTTCATTTCTTTGTGTTTTAAGATCGTTCAGGGAGCTTTTCAATTCGGGTTAGCTTGCGCAGATTCGGCCGGGATCGATATCGAACGAGGCATGGAAAATTGAAATTGTTACCGATAGACACGTTATCGGGAAGGATATTGACGGCGTAAGGAATTTTCCTTGTCACTCCGACCGAACGACTTTTCCTTGATTTGCTGAGAAAACCGTGAAACAAAGCAAGTTTGATATCGAAACGTCGGGGAAACAATCCCGAACGACGATACACGCGTAGTTTGAAACACGAATTTGCGTTGAAAATACATCCTCAGAGTTATAAGCGATCTTTAGCTTTTCACGCGCTACCAAAATAAAGGATTATATCCCCGTGCTGTTACTGTCCCGTTTACAAAAGGTCTTCAACCGGCTTTTCTATGGCTTTCAGTCGCGCTTTGAAGCTAAATATATTATTATAGTCGTTCACTTTTCATAAAATCATTACTTGATTCACGTTTTATCTTCAATAAGCACGTGTTTCATGCCGAGATAAGAGGGAATTTTATTTCGTTTCAAGCCTCGAGTTGGACGTGAAAGGTCTAATTAGCGAATCAAATGCGAGCAGATCAAAGTCGAGTGGCTCGGTGTGTATACGTGTTACCAATAAAGTAAGTTCGACTAAAAGCTACTTGACCCCTTTCTCTCCGTCCATGAAACAACGACTGGCTCGGTAAACTTTGCACAGAAAAAAGAAAACACTTTTCTCCATGTAAACACTCTTCGGAATTCGAAAGTCACCGCGACCACGCGAAGCTCTCGCTGTTGAAGTGTTTGCGACCGTGGAACATCGTCGCGCGTCTCTGTAGTTTGTTTGTATCGTTTGTAAACATCGAACTCCAGTCTTACGGTTCGATTTAAGGATTGTTTCAACGAACGAGGAAAATTCCGTGAAAGAACGAATTTGAGACACTTTCTAGACGTTGCTAGTAGAATTTCGTGAAATAAAAATAATACGCTTGGAATAAGTGGAAAGAATTTTAAAGAAAATTTAGAAATCGAATTATTTTATTCGTGAAATTTTATTACAACGTTTAAAAAAGTATGTAGGAAAGTTCTGTTTTTGAAAAAATCCATTTTGGAAGTTCGCTCGAATGAATCTCGTTATAAAATTTCAATACTTTTGTTCTTTCGCATTGTTTTCCATGACGAAGCATTTATTGTTCAAAAATTTTATTTTATTAACTTAAAAATTGTTTGTTTTTATACACGAACCTATGTTGTTCGTAAACGAGATTCGTTAATTAAAAACGTAATCAAACACAGAGTTTTTCAGCATTGATATTTTGGTAACGATAATCTTGTACAGAAACAGTTTCATTTCGCATTTTCAGTTTATTTGACCGTATAATATTTTCATTTTAACCATCAGAAACATTTGATTTGTTCATGGTTTTTATGAAATTTCAATCTCTTTGTTAAAGAGCGCTTTGAAAACGGGATAAATTTTGTGGTAATCAGAAATATCCTCTGGCGATACAACACGGCTTTAGTTAGTTAATCGTGTGATCCGTGTGACGGGTGTCTCCGGTTCGTGTATATCGGGAATCCCGTACAATTAGGCAGTTACAGTAACATCGTTCATAGCATGACGTTGTAAGTTTACATCGTGGTGGATACGCGGGTTTCATGCAGACAAAGACACGTTTGAGCGAACGCTGATTAACGCCCTGTGCTCAAACAAGGTGTCTATATCGTAGCATCGATAGTCGTTAAATTGCGATATCACATAGTAGATGACGCATGCTGTTCACTAAGGGTGCGAGGGAATGTTAGGGTATCAGCGGTTTGGTTCGTCCAATGGTCGGAGTCGCTGTAACAGTCTGAAAAATCATTTAGTCAGTAGATTGTGAGAAGTCGAAAGTATCCCTTAGAAAACCTGATATCCGAACCTAAGTCACGCGTCAGCTGAGGATTTTGCTAGCAAACGAATTGATTTATGGGTGAATCCCACGAAGAGGGATTCCCTGTTGCCTGATGATAACAAAGCATACGAGATCTCGTCTTTCATCATCCTCGATGGACAAGGAATCTATCCCGGCACGTACTGGAATTAAGCTGTATCGGGGAACGTAATAAAAACTTTCCCCGATGCTCGTTATTCGTGAAAAACTTTCCCGTTTCGTTGAAACATTTCTGTTCGTGTACCTCTCTTTTTTTTCCCTCCTCCCTCTCAGTTGACCCGACGAAAAAGCGGGTGAGTTTTCGCCGGAAGTTTCGCCGATGACTTTTGCCTGACTAATTAGATTAAAAGTAAAGTAAGTCGGCGCGAAAGGCGCGCAAACGAACGGCTGGAAAACAGTATCTTGACCAAGAAACCAGCCTTCCTTCGTTTTTCAACTTTTCACTAGATGTTTCTTCGACCTTTGACTTTCAGCCCCGAAGCAACGACGCTTCGGTGATTTATGTCCGCTTTGGGATTTCGCGAAACTTTTCAAACGAACGATTACGCGCCCTTCACGGATACACAAGACCTTCGTTACCGCGTGTAAAACGGCGTGAATGCGTTCGATAAACTAGAAAAATGAAAGGAATATGCAAATTTCTCTGCCACTTAATATCCTCGAAGTACCGTTTAATTCATTAATATTTAAAGTATAGTTTTATTGAAAATCTTTTGTAGAAAACATAAGAAACTAGTCGACGAAGTCGAGTGGGTATTGAATAGAACTGTTCATTTGGTTGTTATAAATCATTTAAGATTCATTGGGTCAGATTAAAACATCGAAATTACCCCTCTGCCTCTAGTGGCCGGTCCTCGAGCCGTGGGTTGTCACACTTCTTCGAAAGTTTCCTCGATAATCAGATCAAAAGCTCGTTAACTATTGAAAACTCTTGACACGCCGATAACGTCTCGCGTTTCGATCATCCCCCGTCTCCGTCCTCTTCTGCTTTCCATTTCTTCTTTTTTTCGAACCCTCCCTCGCTCACTTAGGGCCGTGATTTCAACTTTTCCCTCAGGACCGCTGGTAATTAAGGGTAACCAAACTCGCAAGTTTCTGGCGGCTCTTTTGTCGAGAATAATGCACCCTGGGGACAGGGAGTACTTCTAAATTGATCCACAGACGACGTATTCGTTCAATGAAAATCGCGTTCTGCTATTTAATTTACGAAATAAGCCGAATCTTACCGTGATTTATTATCCGCGTTTCCCTAACGTTCCCCAGAAATTGGGTTTGCAGAGGGTTAATAGTTTCATGCTAGTTAAGCGTATGAGTGTAAAGGATTAATAAGTTTGTGGAGTCGAGAGACTAAGTCCCTCTAAATTCGAAAGTATACCTCCACTTAAATTCAGCAGTTCAATTGCAGACGATTCGTTTGTAGCAAGTTAATTAACAATGGTGCCGAGAAGAGTCTAATTAGAATCTGCAATTTCTGCAAATAAGAATTCTACAAGGAAATCGCATAAAAACGTTTGCTTTTTATTAGATTGTTATTGTTAGAGTGAAGTATACATAGAATAAAAATGCAATAGGCAGTGTAAAGGTGCGTTTAGAGGAAATTAGAAAAATAAAGAAGGGAAACAGAAACAAAGGATAATTCACGTTGTGCGATTCGTATCAAGGCAATAATTCGTATCAGTTGAATTATGCATGACCCCGTAACCCGATAGATTATGCATCGCGGTGCTGCCGCGTAAAACTCGCAAGAATATAATTTTACCGAGTGTCCTCGGCCATTATCGAACATTAATTACCCGCCGCTGTAATTTTATCGTATACGTGTCAGTAATACGACCACCCACGCGCCTATTATTGTTCCATTAACGATCCGTGGCTGGCACAATGCGCGGCTGATTTTAATACGGTAAACATAGATACTTTGGAATATTTAACATCGTCTTGCGATCGCGTTTACGCTCGTCCCTAGTTCTTTCTACCGCTTCGATGGAATTTCATAAAAGTACACTGTCTGGTACCCATCTCCATAGAATTCTCATAAGGATGACTTCTCATTGCGTGCGGGATTTTATACTATTTCTTCTCCTTATTACGTTCCTTGCATTTCTTTTTTTCCTTTGGTTAGTTCGTGGAAAATTTAGCTGTAAAACTTCGTTAATAGGG